GGTCACAGGTTCAACCTCTGGACACCCTACCTCGTTAAAGTTTTGCAATTTTAGCGATGTGTGACCACTGAGGTATAAAAACACTCCTTCCTATCTCAGAGATGTGAAGTCGCAGTATAACACCTGTTCTGGGATGCTCTGTCGGCTCCGCAGAACCTCGCCATCTTGTTATGCATTATTTCTTTTCTTTTAACTTTCCACTGTATATCTTTAGAATGTTGTTTGTGATTATAAATCTGCATAAAAATTAAATCGAAGAAGAAAATAATTAGAAGGAAATAAGTGAGTGTGGAATGTAGATTGTGTAACTAATAAAATATATTTAAAGAGCAAAAATATATAAAGGAAATTATATAAAAGCGGAAAAAAAGAATAAGGCTATATTTGAAGAATAATTATATAAGATTGTATTTGATAAAAAAGTTTTTTAAGCTATCAAGAGGAGCTGGATTTTCAGGAAGAAGTGGCACGTGATGCTGGCTGAGGAGCACTAGGAGGGAGGGATGCGCTGGTGCTGTTTCCTGTTCTGGTTCGTCTATCGCTTCACGTTGGCCTGTTTGGCGCATTTCAACTGGCTCATATCCATCTACGTGAACTGTGCCTATTTTGTACTGTGGAAGAGCTACGATTTGCTGTGGTTCTGGATGCATCTGATGCTCTGCATTTGCTTCAAACCATTGAGAACCGAGAATTACCTGATCGTATGGTGTAATTTGATCCGTAAACGAATTACACTTTATCCAAATTACACATACAAAGTAAGCTTCTTCTGATAAAATAGTAGAAAGATATATTAACAACAGATGAAATAAGAAGATTCAAAAAGGAAGGTGGAAATGGGAATTACGGAATTAGTAAAATTAGTAGAATTATTATAATTATTCACTTTTATTTGTTTACGTGTTATTTATCTCTTTTTTTTTATTTCTTTTTTAAGGTTAAAGAAAAAATATGAGAAAAAATGATGGAAAGCATGAAAAGAATTATTTATTGAAAGAATTATTTATCGAAAACATGAAAAGAATTTATTATTAATTAATAGAATTAGCAGTAACAATTCTAGTAGTAATAATTCTAGTTAATAATAGTAATCCTATTATTAATTAGATTTATTAATAGTAGAATTAGTAAAAATGTTTCGATCTATTAAGTTTTATACATTTCTTACCATTACCACAATTGGACCTCGTCGATGCGACGATTGTAGTAATTGTAATTGGTCTCCATCTTCCCCAACATTTGCCCAAAAAGT